CCACTTGAGCTTGTAGTCCTCGCGCTGGCTGTCCTGAGTGCGCTGCCAGCCCTTGCTCTCACAGTAGTTGCTGATTCTGCGGGGTGGAGGGGGCGATGACCCAGGCCGTGGGGTCCCGGGGGCCGGGCGGGGGGGGCGCGGGTGCAGAGCGGGGCTGGAAGGGCGGCACTCACACTGAGGCCCCGTTGGTGCCTCCGATGTAGAAGAAGGGGCCGGGTCCGGTGCTGAACGGTGTCTTGTCCACCTCCTCTGGGCTGTCCTCCAGAGGGGCCTCGGGGAGCCTGGCAGGGTCTGCATCTTCGGGGAGATCTGCAGGGGGAGGCAGCTCAGCGGTCCCCGCCTTCTGGCTTGGTGGGCCTCCCCTGCCTCCCCCCCCCAGCCACCTAGAGCCCCACCTGCATCTTGGTCCAGCTGGCTTAGCTCACCACTGCTCCCCATCTGTCTGTCATGGGTCCAGTCTGGGTGCCAGTGGGGTCAGGTGGGGGTTGGAGAGGTGCGCGCACCCCCCACCCCGTCTGAGCCCAGCCAGGCCAGCAGCTGCTGGGTCCTCTCCCATCCCTCCTGGGCTCAGACCCTCCCCAGCCCCCCTGGGCTCAGACCCTCCCCTCCGCAGCCCTGCCCAGCCACACAGGGAGCCAGGGAGCCGGGGTGAAGGGGCCCCACACCCTCCTTACCAGCAGGGCAGGGCAGGGGACCGGGCGTGGGGCAAGAGCCCCGCAGATATGGTATAGGGACACCTCCAGAGAAGGCCGGGGTCACAATGTCCATGGTGACATCACGGTGACCCAAGGAGGCGGGCCGGGAGAGGCCAGGGCTCACCTGAGTGGAGGCGGGGCAGGCAGTGCCCCTGGCGGCCCCGGGCATGGATGGGCAGAGGCCTGGGGTCCTGACCGGCGGCCTCGGCGCCGGGGGCTTCCTGCGGGCCCCTCCCGGGGCCTGTCTGGTCGTCTGGACACGGCTGGGTGGAAGACTGGTCCCCTTCCCAAGAGACACACGGCCCGTGTCTGTCCTGGGGTGCCCCGGGCCGGGGGTGGGCGGGGCTGGTCCTGGGGGTCGCTCCGCATTGCCGGACCCTGAGCCGCTTGGGTCTCTTGGAGCCAAGGTGGGTCCGCCTGGGCTGGCCCCGGTAGTGAACAGGCCAGGGGTGGCTGTGGGTTCCAGGCATGGGGGCGCGGAGGAGAGGTCCCCAAGGGGAAGCCGCCGCCCTCACCAGCCTGTGGGGCCTGCGGGCAGCCTGGGGGCCCAGCCCTTTGACGGGGTCCCCGGTCAGGCCTGCCCTGCCCAGGGGAGCGGGCCTCTCCGTGTCCTGGGCTTCGGCTTCGTCCTGTGGCTGGCTCTCATCTTGGTGGTGACCGTGGGGCTGGGCATCCAGCGAAGCCATTTCTGCATCCTGTCCCTGCCGGGCGAGCCCTCCGCCGCCGCCGGGCCGGTGCTGGCCTCGCTGAGCGTGGCCTTTAGGTCGGCTGTGAGCAAGCGGCCGTCAGACTAGCCGGGGGCCCTGCCCCCACCTGTGGTGCTGGACGGCGGAGGGGCGCCGGGCCTGAGTGGGGCTCCTCCAGGTCTGCACTGCTGCCCTGGGGTCCTACTGGGGGTGGTTCAACTCCTCTGCAACCACGGCAACTCGCCCAGCCCAGGGCCCTTGTGTCTGGACGTGCTGCCGACTTTGGAGCATTGCAGGGAATGTTGGCCGATTCCTAGATGCGTCCTTCTGCTTACATATCAAGCAAACAAACTCAAGTTTGGGGGCTATTTAGGAGGCAAGGACCTGCCATGGGGGTACGGGTGGGCCGGGCACCGGTGGCTCATGCCTGTAACCCTAGCTACTCAGAAGGCTGAGATCTGGGGGTCACAGTTTAAAGCCAGCCTGGCTGGGCAGGAAGATCTGTGAGACTCTTGTCTCTAATGAACCACCAAGGAGCCGGAAGTGGAGCTGTGGCTCAAATAGTAGAGTGCCAGCCTCGAACAGAAAAGCTCAGGAACAGTGCTCAGCCCCTGAGTTCAAGCCTCAGTATTGGTGCACTCGATTCACACCAAAACAAAACAAAGTGGAGTAGGAGGGTAGTGTGGCAGTCGGCAGGACAGAGAAATGGCCTTCAAGGCTGTGTCTGAGAAGCAAAGGGAGAAGCCAACACCCGTTGGTGGGAATCGGTCATCTCTGAAGAGGATGCTGGGTGGTGGACAGCAGCCAACAGCCAAGAAATGCAAGGTCTGTAGCCAAATGCTGATCAGCCACAGACTTTTTATCTGCTTGCCCTGCCCCACTGGACTGAAGGAGAGGTGAGAAAAAGAGCAAATTCACAGAACAGAGCTCTGGGCACCGCACCCCGCAGGCCTCCCCCCCCCCAGAACAGGAGGTTCCACAGAGGCGGCTGGGGTGTATGTGGGGTGACCGACTCTCCAGTTCCCTGTCCACTGAGCTCCTAGAACCTGTGCTGTGGACATGAGCCCTACGACACTAGCTTTTTATCACTGTCCACAGGCCAAGTGGCTTCCTGGCTCAGGAAGACTGGAGATGGCTGGGAGGCGGTGCGGGATCACGTGCCAGCGCCCCCTGGAAAGGGCAGCGGGAGAAAGCAACGCCCCCCAGAGGGAGCATTGGAGGCACATGGACATTAAATGTGCAGCACAGGGGGCAGCATTCAAGCACAAGAAATTGCCCTGGACTGAGGACAGGGCCTGACGTCATGAGCCAAGTACAGGCCAGGCCCCCCGCGTCAGAGCGGAGGGCCGACTGAGCGCAGAGGGGGCATGGGAGGCCACGGTGCACCCACGGTGGCCCTTCCGGGGGAGGTGGGAGGAGATGAGGGGCCCAAGTTTCTTTGCCTGCATGGTAGTCTGGGAACAGCACGGGCCTGTCATGGTCCTGTGAAGATGGAGCTCCTAGCCAGCGTGTGTGAGGATGCGGCGGCCACTGAGCTAGGGCTCAGCACTGCAGGCCACACGGCCACACCAGGAGGCCCGAGGCTCCGGAACAACTAAGGACAGCAGCAAGATGCTGCTCGGCCGGTTAGGACCCTGATTGTGTGGGGTTGACACAAATGAAGGAGCAAGAACAGGTGGATGGGCACCTCTACAACTCGTGTGCAGTCAGGTGCTACTTAGAAAAAGGAAGTAGTTTAAAAAGTCCAAGGGCTCCCGGGGAGAACGCCAGCTTTCCCCGGCCCCCGGCCCGGGCCGAGTCTGCGGCCACACAGGCTGCAGGGCACATGCAGAACGCCCCCATACGCCGTAAGCCCATATGCCGCGGTCTGTGACCTTGTAATTTTCACAAATCATTAAATAAGCCATGAGTTATTCATTCTTGTTGTCCAGGAAGGGCCGGGTCTGCTTCCTGGCTCTGGTGAGCCTGCCCCCCAGTGACTCAGGAGTGATCCAGAGGGGAACGTCACACTGGTGACATCAGTGAATTTTTTTTTTTGTCGGTCATGGGGCTTGAACTCTGGGCCTGGGCGCTGTCCCTCAGCTTTTCAGCTCAAGGCTAGTGCTCTACCACTTGAGCCACAGCACCACTTCCAGCTTTTTCCTGCTTATATGGTGCTGAGGAATCGAACCCAGGGCCTCATGCATGCAAGGCAAGCGCTCTACCACCGAGCCACCTTCCCAGCCCGTGAATCTCTATTTCTAATGGTGGGATGGGAAGCAAGCAGTTTACAGAGAGGGAGGCATGCGAGATGGTCACTAATCTCATTGAGGTGTAATGGTCGATGGATGCCCAGGGTCAGGGACCAGGAGCCAGACTCATCGTGTTGTGGTAAATTAAAATAAACATTTTACCTGGTCAGATAAAAAGACCGGCAGGAGATGGCACTCTGGCAGGATGGGCGGAGACATTTAAACCTGAAGAAAACAGCCACACGTCAGTGTGCGCCCCGGGTCCTGCGGGAGGCGTGTGGGGACGCCGGGCCCGGGCAGGTGCTGACATGTTTCCAGGGGGCGGTGCCTTAGCGCAGACTGACTGCACGGCGGGCCGGCAGTCCCAGTGCGGCTCAAGGGGCCCCCCCTCCGGGGGGCGGCTCTGGGGAGCAGACCTGGTCCTGGGCAAAAGGTTCCTCCTGAGAGTGGCCAGCTCTTCCCAAAGCCAGTCACCTGCTCAGGGGCCCCTCCCTGTGGGGCACACCCTTCCCAGGGAGGCCACAGAGTCTGGCTGGGCTCTGCTGCACCTAGCTGAGCTACCCAGCCTCGGCCTAGTCCTGGCCCCTCCTGTCAGCCCTGGGCAGGGTCCCGAGACAGGCCCAGGAGGAAGGGCTACGCTTCAGTCCCGGCCAGGACTCCTGGCCAGTAGCTAGCCTCGTCCCTCTTACCTGTCCAGCAAGGTCAAGGGAAGTCTCTGCTGGGATACAACAGTGGCGGCCTTGACAACGGTTACCCGGCAACTGCAATCCAGCAGAGCCTGGAGGTAAACACAGCTTCAGAGGGTGGGGAAGGACTGTGTGGTGTGGGCTGAGAGACGTGGGGAAGCTGGCGGTGATCTGGGGCTGAGGAGCCTCTCCCGGGCAGCCCCCGAGCAGGGCTGGGGCATCCCCTCCCTGCCCTCCAGCCTCCTCCAGATCCTCCCAGGATGGTCTGAGCTTTCTCAGGATGCCTTGCTCCAGATTCAGGCACAGCACCTGGGACTGACGCCAGCCTGGCTCTGTGTGAGAGCTTGCTGCCAAATACCCAGACGGGGCCGCCCCACCCCACCTCAGACCCCCGGCTCAGACTTCCAGGGCCCACCCCACCCCAGACCCCTGGGCTCAGACTTCCAGGGCCCCACCCCACCTCAGACCCCCAGGCGCAGACTTCCAGGGCCCTTGCTCTGCCCCATCACTTTGCTCCCCTGGCAGGGGCTAGACCATGTCCCCCCATGGTCAGTGTCCCCCCTCCATGCAGGTGTGAAGACCCCCCTGTGCTCAGTGTCCCACCATCCATGCAGGTGTGAAGACCCTCCTGTGGTCAGTGCCCCACCCTTCATGCAGGTATGAAGACCCCCCTGTGGTCAGTGCCCCAGGCTCCGTGTGGGTGTGAAGACCCCCTGTGGTCAGTGCCCCCACCATCTGTGGGGATGGGAAAACCCTCCTGTGGTCAGTGCCCCACCCTCCATGCAGGTGTGAAGACCCTCCTGTGGTCAGTGTCCCTCCTCCATGCAGGTGTGAAGACCCCTCTGTGGTCAGTGCCCCACCCTCCATGCAGGTGTGAAGACCCCCCTGTGGTCAGTGCCCCACCTTCCATGCAGGTGTGAAGACCCCCCCTGTGGTCAGTGTCTCCCCTCTGTGGGGATGTGAAGACTCCTGTGGACAGTGTCCCACCCTCCATGCAGGTGTGAAGACCCCTCTGTGGTCAGTGCCCCACCCTCCATGTGGGTGTGAAGACCCCTCTGTAGTCAGTGTCCCCCCTCCATGGGGATGTGAAGACTCCTGTGGTCAGTGCCCCACCCTCCATGCAGGTGTGAAGACCCCCCTGTGGTCAGTGCCCCACCCTCCATGCAGGTGTGAAGACTCCCCTGTGGTCAGTGTCCCCCCTCCGTGGGGATGTGAAGACTCCTGTGGTCAGTGCCCCACCCTCCATGCAGGTGTGAAGACCCCCCTGTGGTCAGGTCTCCTGCAGCCCCCCAGGGCCTGGCTTGGCCCAGAGCTGGGACCTTTGGGGTCAGTCCTGTACCATGAGCTCCCGTGCTGCCCCAGCAGCCACAGGCCAACCTGAAGGGGCAGGGCTACAGACAGGCTGCATCTGTCCTTCCACAAACCCTGTCCTGAGTGGCCGGGGCTCACAGCGTGGCCTGGGCCTTGGCCTGGGCAGGGAAGGGCGTAACAGGCCCTCACTCCAGCGGCGATGTGGGCGAGGAGGGCCTCACCTGCCATCTTTGGGGTGGTCTGGAGTGTGCACCGCCAAGGCGCCGGGGTGCCCCAGTGCCAGCTGGCTTGGGCTTGGGGCCCAACGCTCAGCTCTGGCTGGCCTCTCCTCTCTGGTGGGGGCGGGAGCCCCTCCTCCACATTGCAAGAAGTCTGGACCACCAGAAGCTTCTAGATCCTTCCTGGTCCCCTCCTGGCTTTGGACCTGGCCCTTGCCCACACCAAGCCCTGAGATGGGCTGTATTACCACATGCTGTGCCCTGGCACTCTTGCTCTACTTGGCACTGTCCTCCCCAGATATCTAGAAAAGCCAGGAGAAACTCCTGAGCAGGGGGAGGGGAGGGGGGAGAGGAGGGGAGGGAGGGGGGCTCTCTCTCCCTGGGACCCCCCTAGCTGTGCAGACGCAGCGACTTGTCCGGCAGTCTTCAGCAAGCACCTCTGCAAAGCTGCCAGTCCTTGCTTCGTATGGTTGAAATAACAAAGCCTGCGAAATCCAATTTCACCAGTCAGTTTACTGCAGCAGCACCGCCGTTCCCTCCTTTGTTCATCTTTCGTAAAGGGTGAATGAGGGGTGATGGGGGAACACACGGGAGCTTGAGCAGAGGGCAGAGGGCGTCAGCTGCGGAGTGGTTTATGACTTAGGGAGTTGTCCAACTACAGTTGCTCACTTTTGGAAAAGTCTAGAGCTCAAGGTGCACTTTATATGAGTAGCTCTTGAGAATGAGACCCAGCAAGACCCTGAAGGACCCCAGGCCCCTGGACCCCAGAGGGGTCGGCCTTGGGTTAGACTACGGGATGTGGCCCGGCTGCCACAGCCTGGGCGATGGTCAGTCTGGGGTCAGGCGCGGGGATTTCCGGGGCCAGCGCCAGACCACATGTAGCAGTGCCAGCGCCATGGGCGATGGTCAGTCTGGGGTCAGGCGCGGGGATTTCCGGGGCCAGCGCCAGACCACATGCCTAAGTGAACGGCTCCTGTGAGGTCTGAGAAGTGCAACGCTGACTTCCAGAGAACGGGGGTTCAACGCAGGCTCATTGTAATTAAACCTGAAGTCATCTTGGAGCTCCCTAATGGCTGTGCAAAGGGCCTCCTCGTGTTTTCCAGGGAGCGCGCTCTGGGGGCCAGCCACGGGCAGGGTTGGGGGTCAGAGGTCAGAGTTGAGAGGGGCTGGAGGTGCGTGCATCTGGAGCTGGCAGCTGTGCCGGAGGGACCAGGACCCACCCTGCCCGGCGTCCAGCTGGGGCTTCCTCCGGTGGTGATGGGGCCATGGACGGACGGCATTACCAGACAGTATTAGACAGAGGCATCCAGATCTAACCGTGTCTGGTAAGACGCCCATCGGCAGGCAGTCACGCAGGAGCCCGCGAGGCAGCGCATGCTGGTGCCTGGGAGAGCACCCTAACCTCACCAGGGCCAGCTCCAGGGCCTTCGCTCGGCCAGGACCCGGGGCTGCTGGGAGCATTTCCCGCGAGGCCTCCCCCAGTCCCCGCCTGAGAGAGCCCCCACCTTCAGAGAGCTGCATGATCTTGTCAAGTTCATGAGGGACTGACTGCCAGGCCTAGGGACGGACCCCACACCTCCCCTCCCCGGGAAGAGGCCGCTGGACCTGTGCTGGGGGGCTCCTGGGCCCTGGCGTTAGACCAAAAACACAAACAAAATGAGACAATGGGTAATCCTGGACTGTGATTTTGGGCAGAGTCCCTGTCCTCAGGAACGTGGAAGGGATCGGAGACTCTGTTCTTGATCGGGGACACACTGGACCATGGCAGTGCCTTAGGGAAGGACTCACATCTGAGCCTGTCCTTGCTGCCCGGTTCCGCGGCACACCCCGGCGGGTCAGCGCTAAGGCCCGATGGTGCTGAGCAGTGGGGGGCCGCGGCCTGGGCAGGCCCCTGCTGCAGTCCCTCAGTGCCAGGCGGTCGGGGGGACATGGTAGGCCGTGTGCTGTCTTTGTCCCAGAGCCTTGCCCAGCTTGGTGAAGGAGTGAGGCATCTATCACACTGCTCCCTGGAGGCTCAGCACTGCCTCTCCACAGGGCCTGCCCCTCCACCCCCGCCCAGCCACCTCCCGGGGCGGCCGTCCCACGTCCTGTTTGGAGCCCGACCTCGGGACCGCACATCCTTAGGCATCTTCCAGAGAGTGGCGGGTCACCTTTGAACATCGTTACCAGACAGTGTTAGAGTCGAGCCGAGAAATCCAGCACTGTCCGGTAAGATGCCCACAGATGCCCAGGCGTACCCCGGCAGGAGCGTGGATGGACCTGCAGTTCCACCCACAGGCAGCACACGGACACCCAGTCTTCACAGGTGCAGACAGAGGGGTTTGGGGCCCTGACGCCCCGCGCTTGTCTGTCTGCCTTGCTTTCTCCAGATCGAAGGGGAGCCGTGGCCCCTGGCCCCAGACCAAGGCCTGGTGGCTGCTGGACTACAGGCTGGCCACCCAGTCTTGACACAGGAAGGGAAGGAGGCCCGGGCCTGCAGGTGTCCCCCACCTTGGGTCAACACACAGCTCCTCGCTCTGGGTGAGGCCACTGGCGTCAGGCCAGGCCCTGTGTCTCAGCTCTGCCCAGAACCCACCTGCCAGGCGCCGCTGTGGCGGCCGCCTGGATGCAGAGCTGGGAAGGCCCAGAGAACCCTGGAGAGGGGCGCCCGGCGGGGGGAGCCCGTCACCCCGGGGGGCGGAGAGGGGGCCTCAGAAATGTCTGGTGGGAGCGGCGGACAGGGCTGCCCAACAGCCATCCTCCCAAAGTGAACGTTCTGCCCACAGCTCCGCCAGGAAGGCCTGGGTAGGAAGGGGAAGGGCTGGGGGGAAGGGGGAAGGGGAGGCGGCCCCCTGCTGCGTGCAGGGCTCCGCCGTCATCATTACCAGGCAGTATTAGAGATCGGACACCATCCAATGCTGCCCAGTAAGATGGCCACGGCTGCCCAAACTGGGTCTGGGGGCCGCCTCTCAGGAGGCCAGGGGAGCTCAGCAGTCTGTGGCAGGCTTGTCCTCAAGCGCTTGTGGGGAGAGGGGCTGGGGCAGGGTGCTCTGCGGGTATTGAGGCCCCGGCCCTGGCCTCTCCAGGGGGTGCAGCAAAAGGGCCGAAGCCCCAGCTGGCCAGACCCGACCCACAGTGCCACTGGTTTGGGACCTGGTTGGACCAAGGTATCCCTTCTGGAAGAGGGGGGTCACAGGGAGCGGAGGCTGGGCAGGGACCAGGGAGCACGCTGGGTGGGGAGGGTGGGGTCAGGGTGAGGTCGCAGCCGAACCCCCAGAGCACTTGCAGTGCTGTGTGTGTGTGTGTGTGTGCACACTTGTGTATGTGTGTCTCTCTCAGGCCTTGGAGCTACAGCTGCCGGACAATGGGTCTCTGTCTCCAGGAAGCTGTTCAAGGCCACTTCCCGGCCCAGCCCCCACCTGCCCTTCCCAGGGCTGAGGAAGGGGACTGAGCACTGTGGCCCAGTTTGCTGCCTGCTGGACTGGAGAATCCACTCGGAGCAAACGGGGACAGCGCTCCCCAATAGGACACCCGTGCCCAGGCCGGAGCCACAGAGCCGCCTCTGAGTGGGGGCTCCTCATCCGACCCGTGCGAAGCCTCACCTGTAACCCCACAGGGAACAGAGAGGTCCCCGGGGCCCGCTCTGAAGACGCTGGAGGAGGGAGGCCCAGCGCGCAGCGCCTGTGTCTGTCCCTTCCGTCTGCACGGTGTTACCTCGGCCTGGCCGGCCCGCCAGAGCAGCTCCTCCCGTTCTCTCTACTTGCACCTACAGAGACCACAAAGGGGGCTCAGGCCCTGTGCCCGCCTCAGGTCACAGCCACCACCACGAAGGCCGAGGCCCCTGCTGACACCCTGTGCGCCCTGTTCTCCAGCCTCGTCTTCTCAGAGCCGACGTTTTCAGAGGACGCTCCCCCAGCCTAGGCCTGTGACGGGGGTGCACAGACGGCCCGAGGAGGGGCCTGCCGTATGTCCACAGACAGCGCCTCCCACGCTGCTCCCAGCGCCGCTTCAGGTCTGGCCCACCAACCATAAGAACCGGTGCTCTGAGAGGCAGTCTTACTCCCCCAGCTAGGAGGCCCAGAGCCTTTCGTGCTGGTGAGGGTGTGGGCAGGTGCCAGGATCCGTGGACTGGCCAGCCTCCCACGCGGAGCCTGTCTCCCCAGCGATGGCCCTAGGCCATTCAGGGCCAGCCCCTCTCTGGGAGCCCTGCACACAGACGGGTATGCCAAGCATCATATTCCTGCCTGGTGGGCCAGTGTGGACAGGTGTCCAGGTCCAGGGGAGTGGGCGTAGAGCAGAACTGCTCTAGGGATGTGCACAAGGACAGCGTGGCCTCGGACACAGCCCGGTGCGTGGGCCTCACAGGGAGAGGCAGGGGGAGGGTGGAGAAAAACAGCTGGGTCTGACTGCAGCCACAGACCAGGGCGTGGGGAACGGGAACGGAAGCTCCTCAGTGCCCACCTGGTCGGGGAGAGGGGAGGACTCCTCGCAGCTGGTTAATCATCAGCTTTGGGGCTCAGCCGGGGAAATCGGGAGACTCAAGACTCCCAGAGCCCCCAGCTCCTCCGAGAACAAACACCCCTGCTCTGCGGTGGGCCCTTCCTGGCAGGGGGGGCAGCTGGCAGAGGCAAGCAATCCCAGTGTGAAAAAACCAGTCTCTGGTTAACCTGCCCGACGGCCTTAATCAATGGCAGGGCCAGAGAACAAAGCACTGAAACCCAACCTCTCCTGCCACAGATCAGCCAGGCCTGGAGGCCAGAGGCTGCAGGGGCGGGGGCAGAGAAGGCTTGGCTATTTCTTAACGTCCTGTTGGAGCTACGTGTCTTGGAGGCAAAGCCGCCATTTCGCCTACAGGGCCCAGGCTGCGGAAGGAGTCCCTCCCCTCCCGCCCTTCTTGGTGGCCCTGGTGCGGCCACCAGAGATGCCAGGCTCGGCGGGGTGGGGAGCTTCTGGTGGCCATTTCAGTTGATCCTAAGTACACTAAAAGCACCCGACAAACTGATTTTGCAAATAAGGTATTTGCAAATTAGCTAAAGTCTGAAACCCAGCAATGGACTGCACTCATATTTTATGGTTAACTTGTATTTTCATAAATGCAAAACTTATTTTGCTTCATTTAACAAGTTGCTAGATATTCCAGCATTTTACCTGGGTTGCTAGAAAACCAAACAAAAACAACCTATTTTTTCCAGATGCTTTGCCTAAAAAAGACCTAAAATGCTCCATCCAGATTCATCAAAACATCGTATTCTCATATCCAGCAAGCTTTGTTCATGAAGAACAAGGAAGAAAACATACTTCTATTGTATCCAAAGAAAGCTAACCTTACTTCCTGTCACCATTATCAGCTCTTAAACTTAAGCTAAGAAAGCTGTGTGGGTACAAGCCCCCGGCCTCCCCCGTACGGGATAAACACGGCCGGAACAGGGTTTGAGCTACACGGAACTCTTGCCGCCATGCTGTCTGGCATGTAAGTAATAATGCTTTTCAAGCGGACTTTGGCCCTAGCTCCAAGTCTCGGTTTGGGGCCAGGGAGCCTGTTTCTGTCTGCTCCAGTGTGGCCTCGGCTTTACTGGCAGACGCCCGGCCTTGGCCTTGGGGTCTCTGCTCACCTCAGCCTGGGCGGCTCCGGCCTCCACAGCGAGCAGAGCCAGGCCTCTTCCAGCACACGTCCGGCACACGGGCAGAGATGGGGTCTCCACACGGAAAACCCTCCCTGCACCCACCACTGAGGCCTCAGCCGCCCCGTGGTAGAGAAAGTAGTTCAGGAACTTCAGTGTCTACTTTGAGAAAGAACATTCCGGAGGTTTTGTTGCCAGATGGAAGGTGGGATGTGAACCCTTGGAGAGCGGGTCAGTTCCTCTGTGGCCCGGTACCCAAACCTACCTGGCCTAAAAAAGGGCCTGTAGACCCAGGCGGCTCCCAAGCCCAGCCCAAGATGGCTTCGTACCTGAAACTGAGGGCGCCGCAGCCAAGGGGTCACCTTCTCATCAACGCGGGGTGCGCCCCAGCCTGCGCCCACCCACGGGACACAGGCTGGGCCGTGAGCGGCCGGCCACCGTCCTCAGTCCTGACCCCTGCCCGCCACGCAGGGGCCCGTACAGCAGCTTCCTCAGTCCCGTCTGGCCTGCCTCCCGCCCGCCCTTACCTGCCCCAACAGGTTCCTGACAGGAGGAGCAGGACGGGAAGCGGCTCCACCCCCGGCCTGCGGCCAGCACTGTCCCTGCACCCGGGACCCACCAGAGGCGGGGAGAGCCAGGCTTCAGAAAGGACTCCATCCCGCCCGATACCTGTCATCCAT